TAATGGGGTTTCTGGTTTTCCCCTTTAATGCCTTTCCTATTTTGAAAATATGATTATAGTTTTCTTCGACCAGAACAGATAGTTGGAAGATTTTCCTTTCAAGGAAATGATAGTGTCACTCCATGGAATAGAATAGAATTTTACTATGTGTGTAGAGTCATAGAACACTAGAACTGGAAGGGATCTCAAGAGGTCAAATCTAGTCTAGCACCATCTAGATTATCCCTAATAGATGTCTGTCTAACCTGCTCTTAAATATTTCCAGTTATGGAGATTTTACAACCTCCCTGGGCAATTTATTCCAGTGTTTAACCACCCTGACAGGCAGGAAGTTTTTCCTAATGTCCAACCTAAACCTCCCTTGCTTTAATTTAAGCCCATTGCTTATTTTCTTGTCATGAAAGGTCAAGGAGAACAATTTATTCCCCTCCTCTTTGTACCACTATTTTAAGTACTTGAAAACTGCTATCGTGTCCCTGCTCAGTCTTCTCTTTTCCTAACTAAACAACCCTAATTCTTTCAGTCTTCCCTCATAGGTCATGTTTCCTATACAGGCAGTCCCCGGGTTACATGGATCCGACTTACATCAGATCCCTACTTACAAACGGGGTGAGGCAACCCTGCACTAGCTGCTTCCCCCCAGCAGACCAGGGAGACGCGGAGCGGCTTTTCTCAGCAGACACCTCAGCTTGAGAATAAAGGACTGAGGGAAGTGAGGTGTGGGAGAATAAAACTGAGCTCTGGAGAAATGTTTGGCTAGAGTTTTCCCTACAATATGTACCAGTTCCGACTTACATACAAATTCAACTTAAGAACAAACCTACAGTCCCTATCTTGTACGTAACCCGGGGACTGCCTGTATCTTTAATAATTTTTCTTGCTCTTCTCTGGACCCTTTCCAATTTCTCCGCATCTGTCTTGAAATGTGGTGCCCAGAACTGGACATAATACTCCAATTGAGGCCTCATCAGTGCAGAGTAGAGCAGAAGAATTGCTTCTCGTGTCTTGCTCACACACTCCTATTAATGCATCCTAGAATCATGTTTGCTTTTTTCTGCAATAGTGTCACTGCTTATAGTGATATGTGGTGTCATTAGGTAATCTACTGTATAGAAAACTTTACCTGTCTACACCTAAGTGCTTAACAAACCCTAACCTTACTTCTGCTGAATTAGTGAGTATTCATGAACTATTTTATACTTTATTCATTTTATTGTATTTTAATTCTTTGAAAATTGGTTTTCTATTGGTAAAGTATGACTCTCAGTTAACTAGAATATTCAGTTAATTGGCACCACCCCTGTTCTCCCAAAATGCTGGGTAACAGAACATATACTGTAGTTGACTCATGTATAAGCTAATACAGCAGTTAGTAAATACCCAGTAATAAATCAGACACACTGCTTTATTATGTACATTTTCAAAAGTGACCATTGACTTTGGGTGTCTCAATTTCTGTGGCAAGTTTGAGATCTTTGGACTTGATTTCAGACATGTGAACCTACAACTCTATCTGAAGCCAATGGGGAGCTGCAATTGTACCTATGGAAACTGTTTCCGATATGGCTCAAATGTATGGTCTAGGCCAGGGTGGGCAATAATTTTTAAAAAGGGGCGACTTCATAAATTTCTGAAGTGACCCTGGGCTGCTCTGGAAGGGGCAGGGCCAGGAGACTTCTTGTGCTCTCCTCCCCCCAGACCCTGATTGGCCTGGGGGTGAGGGAACACTTGAAGTCTTCTCCCCCCCCCACGTCAGCTGGGCCTGGAGGTGGGAGGAGTGCTCAAAATCTCTCTCTCCTTGCCCTTCCAGGGGCGCATGATGGCTAGAGAGAAACACCGGCTGTTTTAAAATAGCCGGTGGCTCCTTCTGATGCCGTGTGTCCCTGGGTGGGGGAGAAGACTTCGTATGATCACCTTCCCCAGGTCTTGATTGGCCTGGGGGGCGGGGGGAGTGGCAGGACAGCCGTGGGCTGGATCCACCAGCTTGGCAGGCTGGATCTGGCCCACAGAGGCTCCTTTGCCCTCCCCTCGTCTAGGTATATTTAATCCTGCCTCAGCGTGGGAGGGAGGGCTACATGACCTCTTCAGGTCTTTCCCAGACTTACATTTCTTTGATTCTGTGAAGTTGGGCATCTAAAATCAGAGGACCCCAAATCAGAAGTCACTTTTGTAAATGTGATTGTTAAAACTCCCTTGGACCCACCAAGAAGATGGATTTAGTGGGAAGAAATGTTTGTATAGTGAGTATCAGTGACCCTTTCCCCATCCTCTAACGTGGTTCCCTCGTGAGGCTGTTGAACAGTTGTTAATTTGGAGACTAAAATCACTTTCAGAATCTTCTTTCACTTTTACAAATTGAAATGGTTTTCACAGAGAAAAAGCTAACCTTGCAGTGACACTCAGCAATGAGAAGAATGAGGTTATTGCCCATGCTGCATTTCTGGACTATCCAAATTGGAATATAGTTGATCAAGCTGATTGGGAATCATTTTTACATGAAAACTACAGTAACGAAAAATGCACAGTAAGTATTTTTCAGATGTGTTTTCACTTCAGAAATTTCAACGTGGTTTTTATTTTGTTTCTTTTGAATACTGTATGTATTGAGTGTGTGGTACAATACAGAAGAGAAACCAGTTAGAGTAAAATAGATGCATTGCTCTTCTTATATATTGCTATTCCCTGAGATTTGGGGAGATCATTGTAGAGAATGGGGTTCCTTTTTCCTGGAGATTTGTTTTTTTTCCCATTCAACCTGATTTCTTTGTTGAATAGTAATAGAAATGTAGCCGTATTAGTCTGGTGTAGCTGAAGCAAAATACCGGACTATGTAGCACTTTAAAGACTAACAAGATGGTTTATTAGATGATGAGCTTTCGTGGGTCAGACCCTCTTCCTCAGATAAAATAGTGGAAGAAAATAGTCACAACCATATATACCAAAGGATACAGTTTAAAAAAAATGAACACATATGAAAAGGGGGTCAGAAGGTGTTTCTGTGTGGATTTGTTCCCGAGTAGCTGTGGGGAGGCTTTTAAGGAGACAGTGTAGTTTCGTCGGATCCCTAGTTACAAACGGGTGGGGGGGGCGAAGCTAGTGCGCGGTGCCTCCCCCATTGTCACCGCCTCCGGCAGCACGGGGGGCGCTTCCCCCCAGCAGACCAGGGAGATGCGGAGCTAGTGCCCCCTCCCTCCCCAGCAGACTAGGGAGACACGGAGCGGCTTTTCTCGCCGCGGAGGACGCGGGTCTGCTGGGGGGAACAAGACACCAACCAAAAGGGGGCACTCCAGAGCGGAAAAATTAATTTCCTAGGGAACAGCAGGAGCAGCAGGCAGTGAGACCCATTGTGTTACAGTCCCCACCTTGGGAGCAACAGCTCTTTCCATCTTCAGCACTAGAGCTGCAAGTATCTTGTTAGCGTCATGTGAAATTAACAAGTCCCTTCCAGCCTGGCAAAAGCTGAAAGTGGTGTGGGTGGGCAAGAATGGGGAGGAGCAGGACAGAAGGGAAGAGGGGATAAGCCCCAACCCCACACCCTGCACCGCTCCAGCAAGGGTAAGCCCCGAGGGGATGGGTCTGGTTGCAAAGTGGGTGAGTGGACAATGAGGACCCACCTGTGGCTAAACTCCTGTTCCCAACACAGAATTTTTCTTTAAAATTAATCCTGTGGATAAACTCACACACACACTTCACAGGAAGGGATTTCCATTTTCTGCTCAGCGGAATACAACAACAGCTTTGATTGTATCAATATTTCACTGTGCTCTCCAATGACTATTGATTACACTTAATACCCATTTCACTGAACCATCTGTAGCAAATTCTATTTGGAACAGTAATATGCGTTGAATAAACTTTTTTTAGTTATAAAAAACAAAGATTCTGACTATTAAATGAATAACTGGGATCTTTCAGGTACCCCAAAAGGAAGATTTGGATATAGAATGAAACACTGAAACTGATGATCAATTTTTAATTAAAATATCAGCCAAAAAAACCTTCATATCAAAACCGTATGTGTTTTTCTTAAAATAAGGAAGTTTTATGAGAATCAGGGTCTTTTCCACCTAACTCCAGCTCCCCGTCCCCCACCAAAATATGTACCAGTTCCGACTTACATACAAATTCAGCTTAAGAACAAACCTACAGTCCCTATCTTGTGCGTAACCCGGGGACTGCCTGTATTTGATCTGAGGAAGTGAGTCTGGCCCACGAAAGCTCATCATCTAATAAACCATCTTGTTAGTCTTTAAAGTGCTACATAGTCCTGTATTTTGATTTCTTTGTTGTTTGACTAAATTGTCTAATAAGTTTTTTACACACATATTCTGACTCACTGAAAGCACATCATTTGGGGTGTGTCTAAACTACATGGCTCCATCGATGGAGCCATGTAGATTAGGCTGATCGGCAAAGGGAAATGAAGCCGCGTTTTAAATAATCGCGGCTTCATTTAAATTTAAATGGCTGCTGCGCTGAGCCGACAAACAGCTGGGGGAGGTCGATAAAGGGCTTTCATGTCAGCACGGGAGTGTCCAGACTAGCGCGCTGAGCTGACAAACAGCTGATCAGCTGTTTGTCGGCTCAGCGCGGCATTCATTTAAATTTAAATGAAGCCGCGATTATTTAAATCGTGGCTTCATTTCCCTTTGCCGAACAAACAAATCTACATTGCTCCATCGACGGAGCCATGTAGTTTAGACATACTCTTGGGGTCCTAAACATTCTCAACATTAAAAAATTATAACAGATTAGATTTGATAAGTCACCTCTCATTGTAGACCACTGTACATGTTTATGGTGTTGTGCACTCCAAGATTTTTATTGAGTCACTATATTTGGCATTTTTCTGAAAGCCCTAGGTCCTGGAATCAAGTCATTATGCGAAAGCTCCACTTTCCTTTTTTTCAGAAAAGTCAATTTCCAGACCTTTTTGATTGTGGAGAAATGCTGAAAAAATTGAAATCTAAAGGTTCAAAACCCAAATAGAGAATCCAAAATGTATTATCATTAAGCCAGTCTCATGATTCTTGCTTTCCAATATCATCACAAAGCTGTAACTAAACCTTGAGAGACAGCTGGCAGAAATGTGTATAGAGAAAAGATGGAAAAGAGACGGCTTAAACATGCAAGATGTTGTTGCTCCCACACCTGCTCTGCTTTTTTGACAATATTCAGAAGACTGCCCACCCCCCTTTTTTTTAAGAGGATTTTTTTGAACTGAGGCTATATCGCTTAAAAAGTGCTTTATGGTCCTGATCCAGAATATATGTTTCACTATAGCCACACAAGTATCCCTGTTGACTTCAAATGAAAGCTGAAGTTAAGCATACGCTTAACTTTCAGAGCACTGCAACACTAAAATAATTTAAAGTAAGCAAATAAAGAGTGATACATCCAATTAAATTTTCAGAGGCATTTACATGGGGAAATTGCCTAAATTGAAACTTGACAGGGATATCTATGTTAACATCCCTAATCAAAACCAGGATTGAATATGGCATTTTGACTTTAGTTAAGGATTAAAATATTGAGAGGATCAAGGAAAATCTCCATAGCTAAAAGGCAAAGAAGAAAGAAAAGAAATATTGAAATGAATGGTCTGTTTCTCTAAGCAAGGCTTTAATTGTGTCACCATTTGAAATAAGTATGAAAGGACAAAACTGCTGAGCAGTATACCTCTAGCTGACATTTGTGAGGTTAGCTCTGTGAGCTTCCTGTATTCTGGATGGAGAGGTAGATACGCATGTAGATAGTACATGATAAGGTAATGTAAAGGCTTTATTGGAATGAAATTGGGATGGTTGCATTATGTATTGAATAGCTGAGCCACATGTGAATTATTCAGCTAATTTGTACAACTCCTTCATATGGTAGCAATGCTTTTGCTATTCATTTTACAGAATAACAGTTTTAGAAATGTATGATATTTCTCTGTATATAAAGAAATTACAAACCTTTTTCAATCAAATCTTGTTAAATTAAAAATGAAGCTCTGGTGCTTTAAATTTTATAATTGTATTATTAAACTTGAGTATAAAAGCCAAGTTCTCCGGGTTTTTTAAAAAATTTGCTGCGTAGAAAAAGACTCACAAATCTGAACATTAAGACCTCACTCCTGCAAACACTTAAGCACATGAATAAATTTACCCATTCAATTAGTCCCATTAAAGTCAATGGAGCTACTTATGTTTGTTGAGTTACTCACATGAGTACGTACAGGCAGAATCTATAATTCAATTTGAATATTAACATTTTAATTAAAAAAAAACACTACATGCATGGACTTATTGAATTCATTTATTTCTTTTTACCATAGCCTCTGAATACACTGTTTATGCATCTTTTTGTGGCAAATGAGGAATATGTAGTTGGATGTGCCCAAGAAATCATTAGGTGAGTTGATGTGTAAGTAGAAGAGTAGTGAAGCATGTACAGTTTCCTACTAACTGTCATTTGTAGACTATGTTGAATTAGTACAGGTTAATACTGTATAACAAAAAAAGTGTAAAGGTAAATGTTAAAAAATTCTTAACAATTTTAGCATGTGACATGACATGACACAATTATGTGTACCCTGGAATACATTCTCAATTTCAGTGCTAGACTCGTACAGTTCTGCATATATCTCCCTAACAGTGTAATCTCTTGCTATATCTTTTTGCTGTTATTCTTTCTATAAATGTCAGTCACTGACACACATTGATTTTCTGAGTGGAGGGAAAAGAAGGTTCACAGTGCACAGTTGGAAAGGAAGCCTAAAAGCTTTAGATATTTCTGGAAAATCATTGTCTGCAAGTTATCCTTTGAAATGTTTGTTAGGTACAGACTATACAGTACAATTAATACAGTACATCATAGGGCTAGCTCAATTCAGACAAACAAGTGCTGCATAAGTTGGTGTGGTTCAGCTCACAGGATCCCTACATAAATCGAGTAAATTGCATTTGGTGACGTTGCTTCAGTTTTACAGTTATGGAGTAACTCATCCAGCCAGCTCATTCAGATGCCAGCTCATAGATATGCCAGAAGAGTTCTAGCATCTTTAATTTTTCACCACTGGGGAAATTATATAAAAAGAAAGCTATATTAAATCAAAGGGTTAGGAGATTAAAGACAGAAATGGGATTTAAAAAAACCTGAAAATACCTTGATAATTTTCATATAGTCTTCTCTGATAAATCACGTTTTACTTTTTTAGCCATGAACATTTATGAGAGAAGAATAAAGTTTCTTTTATTACGAGTCTTGTTGCAAAATTTGATGTATGTAATTACTGAGACTAACTAAAATAATATTGTTTGTCCAGGACAGTTTTTAATGCAGTACCAGCAGTGCACTTTATTCTTCTTTTCATACCAAGTCATGTGGATTTAGGTAAGAGTTTATTTAATACTATTTTAATCTTAAAACAACCAGTGGTAGTCCGCTATATTACTTAATATTGCATAATAGCTAACAGTTTATGGCCCTGATCTGCCACGGCAGTAGATTATAGCTCAGTATCATGACCTAAATTTGAAACCACATGTCACTTAAATAATTCTACTAATGTGTTAAGAAATATCTTGGGGAAATTACTTGAGTTTTCGACATGTTTTTGTCATTTTTAGGTCCAGGCTTGGGAACATTTTTTGAGCAGATGATCAGTGTTCCAGGTTCAATCATTGATGTGGACTTTACATTGTATGTGTGTCACAGGCACCAACATTGTCCCCAACTGTACATTCGCAAAGCAAGGTAATATGCTGTCATCGTCTTTATCCAAAGCAGTTGAAGGAGTGGAATCCATTTTCTCAATTCATAGTATTTTTGTATTAAATCACCTACATATCTCCTCTTCACATCTTCCAGTTGTCTTGATGATCCGAGTTGTTGACTCATGACAGCTATGTTTATTAAAGACACAAGATGGGTAAAGTTATGATATCATGTACTGGACAAAGAAACTGCCTCACCCATCTTGTGTCTCAAATATCCTAGAACCCCCACAGCTATGGCAACAGTGCATAGTTACCTTTAGTCTAATTTGTCATAAATTTATTTATTTTTTTGTAAGATAGGTGGCCTTATTTCCACCTAATTAAATTGAGTGTTTGCATAGCAGTCATATATTTTCCAGATTTGATGTTTCTCCTGTGTGTGCATTTATTTGCTTGTTTCTGTGGTGACTTGGTGTCTGTTTTTTGACTGAAATACTTGGTCAAAGAGGGATTCTGGCAGCTCTAGTCAGCACCAGTGACCGGATAATTGACAATTTGGTTGACACTGCCACACAGCAGGGCTGGCAGGCTCCTCCTGGCTAACCTTCATGCTTTGTGGCTCGTAGGAAAGAGTCAGCATGTCCCTCGTCCAGATCCTACACATGGCATGGCCAGGCAGTTCTGTTAGCTGTCCCATTCGCAGTTGCCACCCCTGCAGCTCCCATTAGCCACAGTTCCCCGACAATGGGAACTGCAGGAGCAGTGCTTGAGGTAACTGCTGCCCAGAGCCTGCCTTCCTGACCCCCTCCCAAGCCCAGACTCCAACCCTCTGCCCCAACCCTGATCCCCTTCCTTCCCTCTGAACCCATCAGTTCCAGCCTGGAGCATCCTCCTATGCCCCAAATCCTCCATCTCTATCCCCATCTCAGAGTCTACACCCCAACTCCCTGCCTCAGCCCAGAGCCCCATCCTACGCTTTGATCTCCTCAGCCCCAGCTTGGAACCCTTCTTCACTCCAAATCCCTTGTCCCTAGTCCCACATCATAGCCTGCACTCCCGGTTGAGCCCTCACCCCCTCCCTTCTCTAGCCCAGAGCCCCCTCCCACATCCTAATTTCTGTCCCACACTGCCAGCCAAGAGCCCTTTCTGCCACCCACACCTCTGCCCTCTGCCTCAGCTCAGAGCCCCCTCCCATCATCTGAACTCTTCAGAACCTGCATCCCAATCCCCTCATCTCTGGCTCCTCTCCAGAGCCCTCACCCCCTCTCAAATCACAACCCATTGCCTCAGCCTAGAGCTCCCTGTCCTGCTCCGCGCTCTGAACTTCTCACTTCCTTATCCCAGAGATACACCCCCAGTCAAAACCCTCCCCTCCTCCGACATGTCAGCCTTCTGAGCCAGCACAGTGAAAATGAGTGAGATGGGGGGGATGGAGTGAGTGGAGGTGGGGCTTCAGAGGTGGGGTGGGGCAAGGGTATTTGGTTTTTTGCAAGTAGAAAGTTGACAGTCCCAGTACTCATGTCAAGTTGCTACAAATTTTACCAGGAGCAGAATAACTTTTTATGACTTCCACGTTGCCTCTGAGACTATCTTGCTGTTTAGTTTTTTTTAAATTATTTGGCCAAATTCTGATCAACTGAGCAAAGTCTGGTAAGAAGACCTTGCTGGAAAAGAATTGCATAATAAAGCAGAGTAAGGAAGCCTTTGGCCCAATAATTCTTCAAAGAAACTAGTGCCTGCCTTCCTACAGGTTGTTTGGCACTTGTGAATTCACTCTGTGTACAAACCCACTTGTGTGAACCCATTAACTATATCTACTCTCTGTTTGCCTGGGCAGACCTCCTCCATGCTATAGAAGGGGTGCAAGAAGAAAACAAGGATAATAATGCTGCTTTTCTTCTACCCTTTGTCTGTCTTATTCATTTAGATCAGGAGTGGAGAACCTAAGGCCCGGAGGCCAGACTCAGCCCTCGGCTTGTCTGGATCTGGCCCCTGATTCTAGGCTCCCCCCCCCCATCTGAATTCTGGTGTGTGAGGGGAATGTGAAGAGTTTCTTTTCCTCAGTCTGGGGACACGTCTTTGAGGGTTTTTTTTTTCTTCTGTGCAGTCCCCAACTGATTTTTCTGTGGGTCAGTGGTCCCTGACCCAAAAAAGGTTTCCTACATCTAAATTTTCCATTGTAAGCAGTTTGGGGGCAGAACTGTATCTTACTATGTGTTTGTATGAAACATTCCATAATGGAGCCCAGAATATAGTTTTGACTTTAGGCATAAGTGTAATAAAAATAATAATAACAATGCAAATAATTAAATAGTTCAGTCTATCTGTGTCTGGTTGCTTCTCAATCCTCCAGCTCTTTAAAAGTGTAGTGTTTCTGTCATTTTTAAGCCTGAGATGGACACAATTCATCCCTAGTTCTTTTCTCTCCATTTTATTATTTTCTATAACCTTTTCTTAATACAGTTGTTCTGTTGTCTAGATTCTTATAACAGAGATGTTATTCACAAAATATCTCACGTTTTTCTCCTCTTGTGGCAGTTCTCCTCCCCCCACCCCCTTTAATGAAAAAAATCAGTTTCTTTTAATTAGCAAGGTGGAAGAATATATTTTGAAATCATTCTGTGTTTGTGTTGTGAAATACTGCTCAAGGATGTGAACACAGCAATAAAGACAAAAGAAGCACAAACAGTGATAATTAGATCAAAAAATTCCTAACTGTCAGGGTGGTCAAATATTGGAATAAATTGCCAAGGGAGGTGATGGAATCTCCCTCTCTGGAGATATTTAAGAACAGCTTAGAAAGACATCTGTCAGGGATGGTGTAGACGGAGCTTGGTCCTGCCTTGAGGGCGGGGGGCTGGACTCGATGACCTCTCGAGGTCCCTTCCAGTCCTATTATTCTATGATTCTATGTCCTTTACTGGTCTGAAACTTGCACTTTTCTCCAAAGAGCATTCACCACAGCACAGCCCCAAATGCAAAATCACTTCACACATATTTCAGCATGGCAACGTTTTTGTGTAAATTAGTTTGTGTTTCTCTCTGAGTCTGTCTTCAGTCTTTTTTTAATTTATTTTGTACTCCCCCTATCAATCTATAACGTTGAAGTAATAGCATAAGGTAAACTCACTCCAGGTCCTTAAAAGGTATCCATGCCCCTCGATTCTGTCCTTCATGTTTGTCTTTTATTCATAAAGTACATTCTTACCTTTGGGGCTGTGTATTTGACATGATTGAAAGCATTAAGAAAGCCATTTCAGTATTATACTCAAGGGATACCATCATGTGTGAGTTTTTGTAATATGGAATGGCTAGGTCTAATGAAAAGCAGGGTAGAAAACTAACCAGCAAACTAACTCCTTTTCAATAATGTGATTACTTGTGCTGTCAAATTCAAATTCATAATTCAGTATAGTTTCTTGTGGATTCTTCAAGAAGGCTAAACTCTGTTTACTGTTGATGATTTTCCTCATACTTCACTAGCATCCATAGTGACATTTAGTGCAAACTCTTTAGAGATTTATCCATGAAAGGGTTTTGACGCAATCCCCAGCCACCTGCCTAGCAACATGTTCTGGGTCAGTGATATGAGATTAGAGTAATCTCTGTTCCCTCGCCCCCTTACCCGCAGGAAAAAATGCTGTAAATTGATCCTTTGCTTAACCCCTATATATTGAAGTTATTCTTTATCTGACCTTTAAAATGTGAAATAAAGCTGTAGTATCCTAGAACATATCCCAATGAGCTTTCATATTGAAGTTCCTTGCCTGTACCTTGCCATTTGATCTAATTATCACTGTTTGTGCTTCTTTTGTCTCTATAGCTGTGTACAATAGATCACAAATCTGCCTTTATGGTGGCATTTGTTCCAACCTGGGAAGACAGTAGACTAGTGTCCATATGTGTGAAAAGCCACTGCCTCTTAAAAATAAAAAAGGAAGTGGGTGATTTGTAAAAGTAAACATTGGGGTTCCTATCCTGCAACATATAGAGTGTGGAGAGGGGGGCTGTTGCATTCACGGGGAGCCCCACTGACTTCAGTAGAGTTTTGTATGCATGCCAAAGTCCATATCATGCTACAAATCCTGAAATGTGATCTCATGCAACCTCATGTTTTAGGGTATAAAGAGTCATTTAGTTTTGCACTGCTTTAAGAGGGCCGGTGGCAACAGTATAGTGAAATGTCACAGTGGTACATATATAGGTTTAACACTTAAGTTTAACTGAAAAAATAGTGGTTCTTATCACTTTCTATCTTGTACTGGTTGGCACAATAAAACTGCAAGTTTAAATTATAGTACAACCTGACTGATTTGAACAGAAAATTTAGTTTTAATTATTTGAAGTTTCGTAGTAAACATGCTATACAAAATTCAGACCTCATTAGGGGACACCAACCATGAAATCTTGTCTGAGAAGAAGAGAGAGACCACCATTTTTCAGTGTGAATTACGAAGCGTGTGGATTAGTTTTACCCAGGGTCTGCTGTAATAATGGATTCAGTTTAGGTAGAGGTTTCAGGCGGATAACTAGAAACCTCACAATTCATAGTATATTTTATTTACCTCAGTTCCTTCTTGCTTATATAATTATATTTTCATGTGTCCAAAAACTGCAGTAAGAGGTAGATGTGGGGTGGGAAAATTTTTGCCATTTATGGCAGTTTATATTCTCAGTTTAGATTTGGCAGCTGCAGAATACACCTGTATCACGTTCCAAGATTATCATCCAAATGTAAAAATCATGTGAAATAATCTAGTGGCTACTAGTAATAAAGAATGAAACCTCTAAAACTATTATGCAGAATGAAACAATAGTCTGAGTTCTTGGAAGTATTTGTCTTGACAAACTGATGGAGACAAGATTGAATTCAGGAACCAACCCTTTCTGTTACAGAAGTCAATATGAACGATTGACTAACAGATATCAAGGCAGGCATAGCCGATAGTCACTCCAAAATACTAACTATTTAAAAAAAAAAAAGACCACCTTTCCTCCCCTCATAATCCCCCTCTTGGAAGACTAGGATGAGAGAGT